GTCACACTTGAAATGGCAGCTCATACGTACACGACTGCACAAAATGGCAGCTCATTAGTACACGAACTACATGAATGCACACCAGCTCGTGCCACATACATGACTGCATGTGGCACGAGCTAGCGAGCATTCATGCAGTTCGTCATTGTACTACGCAAGTAAAATTATGCTATGAACACTGACGCACCCTGTACTTTCACCTATTCTTTTCAACAGTGATAATGCAATCAACGATTATCAGAAAGGCTTTAGGAGGGAAAAATAGACTATTGAGCAAATTTTCAATCTAAGGCTGATTTCTGAAATATGCAAAGAATTTAGAATCAAAACACACAATCCTTTTATCGATTGGAGAACTGTATATGAATGCATTAACATGGAATTAATTACTCATTGAGGAATTGCATGAATTAAATATTCCAGAAAAACTTGTTGCACTACTCACTTTGACTCCTAAGGAAACCAAGATAAAAATTCGTTTACAAGGTGACCTTCCAGATCAACTGAGGTCAAGAATAGAGTGAGACAGGGGGCCTGCATTGCCATGTCTCCTGTTCTATACTACACTCAAAAAAGTTATCAGAGATTCTAGGATCAATACTAGAGGAAATATTTTTAATGAAACTGCTCAATTACTGGCTTATGCAGATAATATTTGCATTTGGTACTGTTCCTGCTGTTAAATAGGCATTCATGGCACTGGAAATAAGTGCACAAAGAATTAAACCTTTCTGCTAACAAAAATAAAAATAAATATACACCTTGTTTAAAATCTGACTCATCACTTAGTCATTTAAAATTGGCATTTGAAAAAGTCTACAATTCCACTTATCTGGAGGCAGAGATGAATTGTAAAAATGAGATAACTTCTGAAATACTTAAAAGAATCTCTGCTGCAAATAGATGTTTTCATGGTCTGAAGAGCTATTTAAAATACAACTTTCTCAAGTTAAGAACTAAATTACTTGTTTACCAGAGCCTTATAAGATCTGTTCTGAATTATACGTCAGAAGCTTGGGCACCAACTTTATGTGATGTAAGCTTTGGAGATTTTTGACAGGATATTTATTGCACTGCATACTTGGTGGAGGTCCATGTGACTGGATTGTATAAAAAAGATCTAATTTAGAACTATATAAGATCTATAGATAACCTGATGTAGTAAAATTCTTCAAACTACAGAGACTTACAGAGCCCAGATGGGCTGGTCATCAGGCCAGAATGCATGAAGATTGGTGTCATAAGAAAGCATATCTGGTAATGATCATGGGAACCAGATGTCAGGCTAGACCCTCAGTAAGCTTGATTGATAATGTTGAAAATGACCTAAAGAATCCAATCTGATTGATTTTTCTTATTATGCTAACTTTTTATAAAAATGTCCTAGTTTCTCATTCATTTCCATTTCTTGTATTCACTACAGTAAAATATCTAAAATTGTCGGGATATGTTTCAATTACAGCTATGTCAAACAAGAGTAAAGAACACAAGAACGCAAAAAGAAAAAAGAAAAAGAAAGAAAGAAAAGAGAAAAAAAAAAAAAGAAAGAAAAGAAAAAAGAAAATCTAAGTGTTCAAATGCATGTTTCAAGAGAAATGGGTAATCTATATTTAGAACAAAGTTTCTTAAGTAACAGCTTTGCATTGATGTGAATTGGTAGTTTTCAAAAAAAAAAATTAATTCTGTTCTTCCTATACTAACCTTTAAATACTAACATTCTAGCAATTTTAACATATTACCTATTTAAGCACACATTAATTCTGATATTTCTTCATGTCTCTCCAACTGAAATTTAAAAAGACTGATCTCCTTTTTTTAATAACAGAAACTATTTTTGCAAGAATGCACACTAAATTAAAAAGATACGCATAAAAAATGATTTCATAAAAGGAGACCGAGCGATGGAATTTTGATATTCACAACATAGAAAAAGGACAGAAACAGAGCCTCGGCTAATTACAGGCTTCTAATAGCTAATCCATTATTAGTAGCTTCCAAATTTTAACTGCTAAATATTCACTGATGTAAAATGTACAAAGAAAATAACATGACTTAAAGGTGCTTCCATTAAAAAAAATTCATGATTGAGTGAAATTACACATATTATAAATATGACTAGAATTGCTTGGATTTTAAGCAGACATGTAGAGGACAACTCGAAAGATCTTATGCAAAGTTTAAAGAAAGATTAGGAAAACAAACATTTTTACAAAGAAATATGTATTTGCAAATGCCATGCATTGGAGGGTGGTATTTGCTAGAAACTGCACTGAGCATCAACTTCATTATCATTTCATACCATACGACAGAAAACATTTCTGATTCTCCTTTTTGACCACCATGATCTCCTGACCTAAGCCCTATAGATTTTCATCTCTCAGGTTACCTCAAAAGTTTTGTCTACTAGAAACCCATATTTTCTAACACTCAACTTCATTGCAAGTCACAGAAATATCAATACATCTCCAAGAGGCCTGCCTTTTTCAACACATTCTCCAATACATATGTAGATGTTGCAAAATATTTATTACAGCATATGGAGTGAATTTTGGGCTACTTCCTCAGAAATTCTAATCCTAGATGCCTAATTAGCATGTTTTTATTAACTTATTTGCATTCCTTTATTTGTTCATTTTTAACGTACGTAAAACGTAAATAATGTCTGTAAAACGTGAGACTCGTAAAATTACAATGTTAGACTGGCATTCATTTAATAAAAAACTCAAATAGCATTTTTGTAAAATCTAAACTGATCTTTCTTTTCTCTTTACCTGCTTAATTATACATGTTGTAAAGACTATACAAAAATGCATAATGTGTTTGCTTGATGGTCACATTGGCCTATAAGGCATTAAGTGAGAACTCAGAGATAACTAAAGACCGTTACTGCATGTTAATAATTCTGTAATAACCATAATTGCATGTTTGCATGTTAACATGTAATAATTCAAGCAATAGAAATTCTTTTATCATTCTGTGCTTTATTATTTATAATAAAATATTACAAAACAGAATAAAATATCAACATTAAAAATTTTAAGGAAATCTGAATACACACTGAAAATTTATTAAAATTTAAAAATATTAATTAGTCCTCCTTATATAAATTTCATTACCAAACACTAAACTAGCTCATTCATGTAAAATTTATGATTTTGAACAACCTTACATGAACTAGTGCTTGAGTTTAATGTGAATCTTCTCAATAGAGTAATTAAGCTGGCTTTAGCAAATGGCACATATACGCCCCTTAATCTGCAAACACGTACACATAATGAAACAAAAAACATTAGTAAAAATTCATTTCTCTCAGTAATAGGTGAAGGTTGATTAGTGATATTAAGGGCATGCATGTAAAACAGACTATGAAAACAGGACCTTCATATTCAAGGGACCTATTCTAAGTGTAAGAGTATGACATCAAACTGCACAGGGAATTGGAATCTTACTCCTACCTTTTTACAGTACTTGGACAAATTAATAAACAAACGTCCAGGCTACACTACTTACTATAAGGAAGCAAAATCTGGTACTTTTCTGTTTTGCCGGCGCAAATCTCGCCAAGCAGACTTTATTGGCTACACGATACAGTATACACGTAAAAAATTTTAACAAATGTTAGTTCTAAGAATTTTTTATTTTGAAGGCATATACATTTTAATATCGTTTAAAATTTTATAAAAAGCCAATAAATAAAGATAATAAATTTGTAAAAATACATTAATTTAAGACTTAACTATGCTTTCATGGTTCAAAATCCTGATTCGCTGGTTCATATCACGTGACCCCAAGTGATCTCATCTCATGTAAACTGCAGCTACAAAAATCTAATTCTCTCATGTAATTATCTGCATTAAGTTTCAAGTTGAAACTTAAATTAAATCTTATGAAATACAAGTTTAAAATGCAAGAATTATTTCAATTCGTATGAATAGCTTACTCAGAAATTATGTAAAACTGCAGTGCTTTACTTCACTAGTGCATTCTCATTAGAATTGATGAATTTAACCCTTGACTTTGCCTTTTACATATTTTCGCCTTTGGGTGTCCGGTGTGATTGCATCTTAGTTGACTTAATTACCGCGAATGGCCTTAGAGCATAAAATTGAGCTATCTGGTAAAACTTTTATGTAATTTTATCATTAACTTATTTATTGTCACATAAAATCTAAAAATGATGCATTTAGGATATTTTTTTTATGTTAAATCCACTGTATTACATATATTTATGACACCTGATCCATTGTACTTATGAATAACTTACTCTTGAGTAAGAAAGAGCATGTGTCTTCTGAAATATACAGTTTTTCGAACTGACAAATGTTCATTTTACCAAATACTAAAGTTGAAGTACACCATATATCCAAATATGGTGAAGAAGTTAAGCATTTTTCAAGATTAGTTGTGACTTTCAAAGGGTCTTTTCAAACTGACAAATGTTCATTTTACCAAATACTAAAGTTGAAGTACACCATATATCCAAATATGGTGAAGAAGTTAAGCATTTTTCAAGATTAGTTGTGACTTTCAAAGGATCTTAATATGATGCTCAATGTTTTAAAGCATGAACCTCAAAAAATGTTAATAGCAATATATAAAAACAGTTATCACTTTTCAGCTCAGTGTCTATTAAACTGACAAATATACAATAAATCTACAGTCAGGCAGATGAAAAGTTATAGTGAAAATATGAAAAATCACTTTTCTTACTATTTTCAGCTACACATATACATAAAAGTCAAGTAATCTATTAAATATTATGTTTGCAAATTTAAAAATAACTTTTCTTACTATTTTCAGCTACACATATACATAAAAGTCAAGTAATCTATTAAATATTATCATCAGCAAATTACAAATGTCTTTCATAACACTATAAAAATGAAGCAGATTAATAATTTACTCAACATAAGACTGCTGTATTACAAATGCAACTCATTTTGTATTTTAATAAATTACATTACGTATCTATTTAAAATCATTTCTAAAATAAATCTTACCAGGAGATGCAGACTTTAGGTATAAAGCTAACTCTTCCACATATTTCTTTGTTTGTAGATAATGTTTGTAGTCTTCCTTGGATACCAAAGGAACAACTGTAGGTGGTTTATCTGGAATTCTTCCACCAACCAGTTGCAAAAGTGCATAGTTTTCAGGTAACTGGTTAATGTCAATGTTGATGGTGGTTTGATCAAATGGGCACTGTTTTCTCTGAAGTTTTGATAAGCAATTTTTACACATAGTATGACCACAGCCAAGACTGATAGGACGACGGACACTACACTCAAATTCATTGTAACAGATAGGGCAGGACAAAAAATCTGTCCACTGTGGTGCTTGCACAGGCATGGCATAAAATTAACACCAGCAAAAATTATTATCACTGCAAACAAAATACAGCCAATTAATTATAAAATTTACAAGAAAAAATAGAGCATAATAATATATTTTCTGAAAATTAAAATAAATTCTTCCACTCAATTAAGGTCATTCTAACAGTCACAATGCATTTGAAACAAATATAACTACTAACCCTAGCAGTTAAAGTTTTACATATTTTTTACAAGAAGTATATTCTTTGTGGAAGACTCGAGAAATAATGATTTTTTGTTTGTAAAAAACATCCATAATTAATTAGAATCAATAATAATTTTTATTACAAATGATAATTAATTCATACGAGGGGGGATAAAAAAGGTTACAAGGGTTACAAAAAATTATTAACAATAGACAGAAAATACAAAAAGGAATTAAGAGGCAAACTTGTCTATCATTTTTCCATATAATCGGCAAATCTATTTAGGCATTTATCTGAACGCAGGAACAAATTGTTTAATATGGCTTTCTAAAAATCATGCCCACTGGGTAGTTCTCAGTGGCTGTTTTCACATCACTGTCTAAAAAGAACCTCATTTTCCAGATAAATGTTCCTTCAACTTCAGAAAAAGAAAATAGTCACTGGGTGCTAAACCTGAACTATATGGAAGGTGACTACAGATTTCCCACTTAAACTTGAGAAGTATGCAGGAGGATGGCACCATCACTCAAAATGACAGGGCGCTTGCGTCGGATGGCTTCACGTAATCTTGTCTAAGTAGCAAAGTAACGATCGGCAGTAACAGTAAGGCCACCCTCCAGATACCCAATAAGGACAATGAATCACCTCCAAACGAGACCACTTTTCTAAACGTCTTGCCATTTCAATCGCTCTGACGCATTTGCAAAATTACTCTACCTACCCGCCCAACTGTTGCTGACAACCAGTGCCATCTGCCTACACTCTGGGGATAAAGTATTCTCTTCACAATAACTGCTGATGCTTGTAAGCTATATTTGGTGCTACTTACGTACTACACAGAATGAATCAATTGTCAGTAGATAAAATATGTTTATTTTTCTTTTCACTAAGGAAGGCCTTGAACTCCCTAATTATCTGGAAAAATATAAATGAATTTTCTCGTCCAGAAATACTTAACTATACCAATAGAATTAGAGAATGTAGAAATATATAAAAATTAGCTGCTAATATTCTAAAAATGAGCTAGAAAATTGAAAAAAAAAAGGGGGGGATTTGGTGATACAGGCCTATTTGCCAACTTTCAAAATTTCAGAATCGCAGGTTTAAAAATTTAAAAAGCTACTAAGCTGGTCTGTTCACTCAATGAAAACATAAAATAATGAATGAAGAGAAAAAAAATTTACAAAATGTGTTTTGGCTATTGATGCACAGTAATTTAAACCCTAGAAAATTAGGTCAGAATGGCAAGAAATTTATTACTGTGGTAAGATGCACTATATTTTAATCATTTTAGCACAATACAAACACTAACTCCTTTATGTAATAATAAATATGCTGATTATAGATTGAACATATAGCATAGATGAAATGCCATAAATCAGTGATAAAAGTAGTAAAACTGCTTTACCCCACTTGCAAAAGTTTCAAAAATGGAAATCTCTGGCAACCAAGCAATAAAACCACTGAATACAGGTAGTTTAACGTGAGTTCAAATTACAGTAATGGAGTGGCTGGATGAGAGTTTTCATGTTTTTCCCCATGGATAATGTGAATGTGAGTCATTTCCCATAAAAAGCCTTCCCTACCTTTTAAAATAAAAACCTGTAGATTTTTCACTTGCTTAATTTATTTTGAACTCATTGCAAGCTATATATATATTGCAATATATATATATATAATATTGAAGTCTTTTTTTATACTGTGCCAGAATTTTACTAGTTTTTCATTTAATACGTTACATGATTAACCATTACATGATGGCTGGTGATCCTCCTCACAAATTCATTATTAAATAAAATAACTGTTAATTTGGTTTCAAATGTGTTAGATAATTCATTTTTAAAGCCAGTCTCATCTTTCTACAAATACTTTGTCAAAAATAATTTCCCTTGGATTTTAATGTTCTTTTAAAATCTCAGAAATCAGGTTTTTTAGTGTAAAATCCTCTTAGGTAAAATCTATTACCACACTACACGTATATAACCACCAAATGCAGACATAGTTTAAAATTAAAAGTCTACACCAGTGTCTCAAATTTTTACACTTTGACCATTAAACTGACAGCTAGTTAAAATAAAAGTTAGTTTCAGCTTGCAAAATACACATTTATAAATTTACATTTCAGTGTATATAAGATGGCATAAATAAAGTGTAAAGAATTGGATTACAATTAATTAAAAAAAGAAAAAGACTAGAATTTTGCAAGGTGACCACAGTGCAAATATTTTTTCGCCCTAATAAGGTTATAGAAAGAACAGAATTCTCAACCCTCCGTTGAATGTGATATAAAAAATCATAAGTTCAAGCACAATGCATCGACTAGTTTTGCATATGACATTTATTGACTTAAATTTAAAGTAATGCCACAACACATATTTTATTTATGCAGAAAAAAAATTTTATTTTCAATACATGGCATTTATTGAACAAATTAAATACACACATCAACAAAACATAAAACCACAAAAGTTAAACAAAATTTGCCAATAAGTAGGAGCAATGAATATGACAGATTCAATGCAAAACAAAATATGTAATTAATAAGTTTCAATAATAGAATCATACTTACAATTTTTTTAGAATATGTGAAAACATAGAATTATACAGAACAAAATCTTTTGAATAATACTGCAGTAAATCCTGAGAAAAAATTTGCCTTCGATGACTAAAAACATAAAAATATTTTGTAGGTTTCTTTTGAGGGTGTAAAATAATTATATTTTTTTCACAAACCCAATTAGAGTTCACATAGTGCAGATTGCAATGTTATTGGAAAGCTAATTATATGTTTGCAATAAAACATGAAAATTAATGGAAAACAACAATACACAAAAAACTGAAAATACTTTTGCTCATTTAGAAGTACATAATATTATAAAAAATTCATTTCTAATTAGAGTGAAGAGGAAATTCAAAATACAAATCTACTATATTTAGCAATGCAGCTCTGTTTTGGAGACCTCGTGAAACTTTCAAATTTATTCAGAAGGGTCATCATATGTGATCAAAATCATCAGAAAGTTTGCTACTGACCATCAAAGACTTTTTTTAACATTTTTTCTGATTATCATGTATGGTGTATTTGCAGCTAATTTTTTTACCATGCTAAAAAGAGATTTTGTTAATGAAACTCTTGGCCAGAAGCTTACATTTAGTGCTATTTTAATTAAGAATAACTGATATTGTTCATCATAAACCCAGAAGCGACGGTAGAATATGGCCACACCGGAAGGCAGAATTTAGGGAAGACAAAATTTTTGGAATTTGGGAAACCACCGAGCGGCAAAATTAAGGGATGAGAAGTTTTTTATAATTTATGGAAAGCACTGGGATCCAAAGTTTATGAGTGGCGAAAACTTAGAACTTAGAAAGGCATTTTGTAGCAGAATTTAGAGTCCGCAGAAACTGCACCAGGCAGTATCTAGTGCTGGCCCTAGATAAAGCCTTAAGTATATGTGGGAGTTTATTTATTCAGGACTCGGATTAGTTTTAAGCATGTGCAAGAAATAAACGTAGGTACAGTAAATAACTAAACTAATACAATTCAGGCTTAATTCAGTAGGCAATAGGAGCAAGACAAAATTTAGCGGAACAACTTGGCTTTCATTACCAATCTTGTGATACACAGCCAATAATCTATAACGGATGCTATTAAGCTAAGCTAAAATTATCTTAACTGATTCTAAGGCATTTCAGTTAATGTAGTAGACTACGTAGCTGCTTTATCATCTCATTTGATCCAGCTTATTATTTTTTGGAGACTGTTATTATTACAGCAATTTTATAAAAATTAAGCTTGAACTTTTGATTATGTCAAAAAGAGTTTCCAATTCTGGAGCTGCCAAAGGATCTACAAAGTGAAAGCATGTTCCGATGTTCATTAAACAAAAAGTGGAACTGCTGCAAAAAATGGATAAAGGCACATCCGTGTCAAAATTATGCAATGACATGGCATTAAAAAGTCAACTGTATATGACATTAAAAAAAAAGAAAAAGAAACTTTTTGAATTTTTTGTGGATTCCAACACTGCACTTGTAATGAATAACAGAAAAAATATCCATTATGCTAAAAGTGACGATCATGACAAAGTGATGATTGAATGGGTCAGACAGCGTCGCAGCAAGGGCGTGCCATTGACGGGTCCAATGCTAATGGCTCAAGCCAAAATATTTCATGAGCAAATGAACTTAAACACTGAGTGCACATATTCGACAGATTGGTTAACCAAATTTATGATATAAGACAATTAAAAATTTCAGGTGAAAAAGCTTCAGCTGATACTGAAGCTGCTGAACAATTTGCAGATGAATTCATTGAACTTATTAGTAGTGAACAATTATTTCCAGAACAAACTTAGAATGCTGACAAAGCAGATCTTTCTGGCAATATGTATTGCGAAATACCTTGGCAACATCTACAGAAATGTCTCCAACTGATGTCAAAGCAAGACTAACAATTTTAGCGTGCGCAAATGCTGCAGGAACACACAAGTGCAAATTTTTCGTAATTGGTAAACATGTAAGAACTCAAGCATTTACAGGAGTAAAGATTTTGCCCGTTATATATCGTGCAAATAAAAAAGCATGGATAACAGAAGCGTTAATGAATGACTGGTTTGAAAATCATTTTATGCCCGAGGCTCGGCAACATTTGAATTTGGTTGGTTTACCTGATAACTCAAAAATAGTCCTGATTGTAGACAACTGTTTGATTGACTCATACTTCACTTAAAGTTTTAGAGAAAGATAATGTATACATATTATTCTTTCCTCCAAATTGTACGCCTGTCATTCAGCCTATGGATATTGTAATAGTGCACAAGCTGAAATGCAAATATAAAGTAGAATTTTTAAAATTTATGTTAAAT